CCGTGCGCCTTGGTGTTTAGTCATGCCGGCCACATGACCACGGAAACGTCTTCGGACAGCGCTGGCTCTTCAGTTTTGAAACGAAGATGAGCACCGCAACCCTAGCATCGGATTTGACTGGCTTTCGAGCAAGGGAACCTTTACTTTTTAATAGATCAGCAGCCACTATGATAGAGAACTGCCTTTCTTCTTGACACAAGGCGTAATATCATCATCATCATGATATCTCTTATATAACAATTCTATTTTCGTCTGGCAACATTCAATGCGCTTCAAAATCAGTTGGGTGCCTCATATGCCACTCAGAAGGCACTGCCTGCATTGGCTGGCTCTGTTGCCTAAGTCCCGCCCACAGAAGTGGCCACCAGCATCTCGGACTCAGTGTGTTGGGAGCCAGCCAACTGGATGGACACTCCGGTGGGCGGAGGAGAAAGGGGGGGAGCGCAGAGAAAGGCCAGAAAAGCTAAGAAAACTGGTCACGAAAAAACGCGCATCCCTACGGGCTCCCTGCGGTCCTCATTTGCCCCACTGAAACCCTTTTGTTGAGAACGAAGGAAATCCCCCGGAAAATGCCACCCCTGCTGCAACAGTCTGACGCCAGGCATGTCTGGCCCAGCAGTGAGAAGCCCAGCATGTGTGACACAGCTGCCTGTGTGGCAGCCGGGTAGAGGGGCAGCATGCGGGGTACTCAGAAGCCGAGGGTTGGCCAGCCGAGTTGGTGATTTACCGGGAAGCGCACCAGACGAGCTCCATCTGGCCCGCCCTGTGGCTCCCAAGTCACATCACCATCCGCCCTCTGAGGTCGCTGGCCGGCCTGGGGGAGGCCGGCCCAGGCGGTGCAGAAGCCTCAGCGGGGGCCGGGCAACAGGTGCGCAACATCGTCTGTGAGGGAGCCAGAGACAGCGGTGGCGGCGCCTCAGCCCAGCCACTCTTTCGCTCCACTGTCTCCCTCATGCAGAGCCTTGGAGGAGGCCACTGCCTCTTCTCTCCTGGCTGAGCCACTGAGCTGGCCCCCAGTCCGCTTCAACAAGTGCTCCACACCACAGGGCGATGGCACAGAGGCGCCAGCGGACTCACAAGCAGCCGAGGAAGTGGCAGCAGGGTAGTGGCTGCTGCTGCACCAGGAGGGCGCCCCTCCGCCGCCTGCCGTCGTGCTCCGGCGAGGCCACTCTGCTGCTGCTCTGCGACACGCCCCACCACCACAAGGCCTCCCCACTGCAGAGGCGCCACCGTACCAACTGCCTCCTGCTGCCCAGCCCTGGCAGTGGCAACCAGGACATCGGCAGTGGCAGCGGAGGGGCGCTGCTCTACCCATCGCTGGCCCCGGAGGACGAAGGCCCTTCTTCTGGTGAGGGAAGGGCAGGGAGGGCCTGGGGCGGCTAACCCCTATCCCCGCCCTATTAAAGAACCGGCCCTGCGTCAGGCCATGGCGCTCGGTCAGAGCTCCCGGGGGCGGGGGGTTCGCCCGACTCCTGCAGCCTGCTGCGCCCTCCCAGGCCCTCCTCCTAGAGCTTGTTGCATTTCTTGCCGCAACGGGCCTTATTACTAGCCAATAATAATGACATTAATGTGAGTAAAAGAAATGGCTGGTAAATAGGCATCTATGTCTTCAGTTAACTTGGCAGAAAAGTTTTGTTAAATGAGAAGGAAATGTTAGGTTCCTCCCTCAGCCCTTCCAGACTATGCTGCAAAAGTATTTAATCCGACTTACCATCTTCTTATCTGTTCATTTTTGTGGGTTAACATCATGTCAGGATTATTGGCAGTGCTGTGATAGAACGAATCATGCAACGGCTTTTTTCAGCGGTTGAAAACAGATAAGGCGCACCAGCCTTTGCCAGATATTACTGCTTTGAAGGGATGCCTCATTACTATTCTTCTCACTGAGGCAGTGGCTGCTTTGCCAAGATGCCACTAAATGCAAGTCTTAAAACCAGAGACTCGCCAGTGTGGTATAATGGTTAGAGTGCTGGACTAGGATCTGGAAGACCCAGGTGGAAAGTCCCTGCCCTGCCATGGAAGAGACAACCACCTCTTCTCCCCACTCTGGGTGTCCTTGGGCTAGTCACATACTTTTAACCTAACCTATATCTATTCACAGGGTTGCTGAAAGGATAAAATGGAGAAGGACAGAATGCTGCTGTAAGGTTCTTTGGGTCCCCACAGGGAAGAAAAGTGGAATGAATGCATATATACATAATAAACAAACTGATTTTTAGCAAGCCAGATTCTACAAGCAGATAGCGGCCAAAACTTTCACTGAGCTCCGTCTCTAGTTCCAGCTCCTGCCAACCTAGCAGTTCGAAAGCAAGAAATTGCAAGTATATAAATAGGGACCACTTCGGTGGGAAGGTAACAGCGTTCCGGGCGCCTTGGTGTTTAGTCATGCCGGCCACATGACCACGGAAACGTCTTCGGACAGCGCTGGCTCTTCGGCTTTGAAACAGAGATGAGCACCGCAACCCTAGAGTCGGATTCGACTGGTTTTCGAATAAGGGAACCTTTACCTTTTACTCAGCAACTTATAAAAATTGCTTCAATAGGATCATTTTACAATAGTGCTGTGTTTTTGGCACCCCATTGGTCCAAGCAAGGTTCCCCAATTAAATGGAACACAGCAGAACCATAATAGCTTCCAGTGTTTGATTTGTCAGGTTGCAAGCACAAATCAGAGAAAGAATACCGGACTGAACTGAACAATGATCTCTCCCATTAAGGTTATTCACTGGCAGACTTTTATTTGGACTCAGTATATGTTCTAAAAATAACAGAAATACCTGAAAAGTCTGAACAATAATGAATAAGTTGTCTACGCCAACAGCCAGCACCAAAAACGGAATGACTTCAATCACAATCAGCGTTAATGGGACTCCAAAGTAGCTGAAGATTCCCAGAGAACATGCCACTGAACTCAGCACAATGATAACGCCTGCAATGCCTAAGGAGATTTTTGAATCCACCTAACAAAAGACGAAGCAAATCACAGCATTAATTGTACTTAAACTAGAACACGTATCCAAAAAAGGTTACATTTTGCAGGCTTACTAACCAGGGAAGTGCACTCTGATTCATGCCTTTGTGACTAATCCATGTATACAGATTTGGGAAAAATACTGATTAATCTGAAACATCTTCAGAAAAGTCTTAAGCATTAAGCACAATTCCACAACAAATGCAAAGAGCCATACCAAGAACCTTCTAGCACTCTTGATGTGCCCCAGAGCTATGGAGATGTACACGAACATGACGACATAGCTAATTAGAACAGTGTTGACATCACCATAGCTTTCCCGGTTTATTTCATCTTCAATGCTGCGTTCGGCAGAGAAGGAAATGGTCAAGTTTGAGTTGTTGTAGTTTTTCACAAAATGGAGGAACCTGAAATAAAAAGTCAAAGCTTTCTTAGAAAGCCAAAGCTCTTCCGAAACTACCCACACAGGCCAAAAGAACACACACTGCTCTCATATCACTTGTACAATGTGCTGTATTCTTCATAGAAACAAATGCTTGGTTGGGAACCAAGGGACTACTTTTTCATACCAAAGACAACATAGTTGTTTTGGAGGGTTTTTTTTTTGGGAGGGGGCAGGATACCTGATACTGACTCGTAGACATGATTCACACTTTTTAAAAAGAAATGTGACTAGACCATCTGCTAGTAACCTAACCCTGAAATATTTGCACAGAGGAGTGTGTGAGAACAGCTGTTAAATTGGAAACACTGAAAACGTATCTCAGATGACCCATCAGAATTTTTCTAACATAGTAGTATCTGAATTACACAAACAGACTCCCCTGTGCAAAAGTGATGCAATCACTGTACAACTGATCTGGCTTCGGCTGTGAGGGCGGGATACAAATCTGATAAATAAACAAACTTCTATTTCTCAAACCTACACACCCAAGTGGAGTTCAGTTACTAGCTGAGATCATCTTGTGATGGAAAACTATTCAGCAATACACAATATATTTCAAGTTGGCCTTTTTAAAAAAGACTTACTCCTTTTCCCAAGCCAGAGCTTTCATCAGTTTGCCTGTGTCATTGTAAAAATTCTTAACAGGAAATGTAATCACAAGGGCTGTGGCATTATTGTAGTTGTCACCTATGCACAGAAAGGCAAAAGATGCACATAAAAGTAATTCTGAAGGGATGGCACATATGCATTAAAAGCATACTCTAGGAAGTTAAAATCCCCCCCCCTCCGACAGCATTATTTAAAGCCTCTCCCACCTTTGTTGTATGCTGTCTCACTGACTGCAACTCAGCATCACCTACTACCATGAGAGAACTGCTGGGCGCTAACCTAAGTCTATTTAAATGGCTATAAATCCAACTGATCTAGTCCTAGGCGAACAAATGCCACCCATTACTTGCCTGCCCATTACACTTCCCTCCCCCACACACTAGACTGCACTGTTCCTTAACAACTCAGGCACGGAAACTAGAACAGGAGTCCACAAACTTTTTGAGCCTGAGGGCACCTTTGTAGTTCTGACACAGGGTGGTGGGCACAACCACAAAATGGCTCCCACAATAGGCAAAACCAAACACAAAATGTCAAGGTCATACGTAGTAGCTCTAACAGTAACTCTTCAACATTTCGGGCAGAAGCTCTTGTGGCGTATATATTGTATACATTACAATGGAATAGTCTGTTCCACCTTTCATATTTGCGTGTGTTGGTTTTGTCTCCTGGGGTGGAGTCCCTGCTCCTTAGCCCTGTTGGTCAGTTAGAATTGTAAATGGCACGATCGCCCTTGTCCTGAAATCTGTTGTTCCTATCCTTGTATCTTCTTGCTAATAAATGGATGTGGTTTTGAATGCACCTGTCTCTTCTGCGTGAACCCAAGAGCAGGAGCCTGCGGGAGGTCCCTATTCCTGATTTGCAAACAAAAGGGAACATCACAACTGTTTTAACATGATGCCTTTTAAAATGAACTTATTGTTTAAGCATATTTTCCTGCATACACACAGCTTGCCTCCAGTCATGCAGTGAAGATCCTTATGCTGTGGTAGCAGATACTGTCAAAGTAACTTTTTAAAAATATGCACAACTGATCAGATCTCCAATGGTCAAATCAGAAGCCCTGCTGGGCAAAAACCCAACTTGGTGCTGCTCAATTTCTAAAAACACTGGTAGGCACCATGAAGGGTGTTAGCAGGCACCACCCTGGGGGCACCTGAACTAGAGCTTCTAAAACAACTTTGCTCCCCTACCTCACCTCAACACATAAATATTCTTAATGTTGCCACAGCTTCTAATTCAGTATATGGAATTGTAGACTCCAACTATTCAGTGCTGTTTTAAAGAATATCCTCTCTAAGCAAGCTTTATATAAAAAAACATTTAAACAATTAGAATAAGAATACTAGTTTATACTCTATTTTCAATAAAATAAATGGACAACTGTCCATCAAAAGAGATTTCATAAGAACATAAGAGACGCCAATGCTGGATCAGGCCAAAGGCCCATCCAGCCCAACACTCTGTATCACACAGTGGCCAGAAATACCAGTGCCATCAGGAGGTCCACCAGTGGGGCCAGGACATTAGAAGCCCTCCCACTGTTGACCCCCCCAAGCACCAAGAAGACAGAGCATCACTTGCCCCAGAGTCCCTACCTATACCTTGTGGCTAATAGCCACTGGTGGACCTCTGCGCCATATGCTTATCTAATTCCCTTTTGAAGCAGTCCATGCTTGTAGACGCCACCACTTCCTGTGGCAGTGAATTCCATGTGTTAATCACTCTTTGGGTGAAGAAGTTCTTCCTTTTATCTGTTCTAACCCGACCGCTCAGCAATTTCATGGAGTGCCCACGAGTTCTTGTATTGTGAGAAAGGGAGAAAAGTATCTCTTTCTTTACCTGCTCTTTCCCATGCATAATCTTATAAACCTCGATCATGTCACCCCTCAGTCGTCTTTTCTCCAAGCTAAAGAGCCCTAAGCGCTTTAACCTTTCCTCATAGGGAAAGTGTTCGAACCCTTTTATCATTCGAGTTGCCCTTTTCTGCACTTTTTCCAAAGCTATAATATCCTTTTTAAGGTGTGGTGACCAGAACTGCACACAGTATTCCAAATGAGGTCGCACCATTGATTTATATAGTGTATTTGACTATATAATTCCCCCTCCAAATTATTATATCTAATGAGCTCTGTGTGAACCATAAACACTGGAGAGGCTATAATGGCACCATACAGCAGTACAGCACTTCTGGCTTCCACTACGTGGCTAGATTTCTTAAAGTCACCATCCTGCATTTTTCATCTGGTTTACAATCAAGTCTTGCTAATCCTGTTGGCCAAGTAATTACCAGTTTCTCCGTCCTGCTCACCATATGATGCCCTCCCACACAGTAAGACAACGTGCTAGGCAGGTCCTCCTACCAACCTGGGATGCTAAGTGTTTCACAGCTTATGTTGTACAGGCTAGAAGCTAAATATTGTAAAAGCTGTGTTGTACTGTTCAGATTACAAGAAATGACTTTGCAAGCTTAAAATTCATTTTACTTTCAATTCCCCCTCAAAAGGAATTATCAGGATTTCCAAAGTCATTTCAGCACATGATGCTTACCATCATATCCACCCAACACCAGCCATGGAAATACAGGTCCACCGAATGTTGCCAAGCATGGATCATGAAGTGGGGTTGTATCATTCAGAGATGCTGGAGCCCTGTAAAATTAATCAAAAATGCTGCAAATGATCCAAGGGGCAGGGGCAGTACAGAAAAAAGTAGAACAGAATGCACATTACATATTAAATTGTTACAGATTAAATTGTATCAGATTTCATATCCAACACAAGAATGCACTGATAGCATGCTGTGTAATAACTTAGTAAAGGTAAAGATTCCCTTGCTCGAAAGCCAGTCGAGTCCGACTCTAGGGTTGCGGTGCTCATCTCCGTTTCAAAGTCAAAGAGCCAACGGCTGTCCGAAGACGTTTCCGTGGTCATGTGGCCGGTATGACTAAACACCAAGGCGCATGGAACGCTGTTACCTTCCCACCGAAGTGGTACCTATTTATCTACTTGCAATTTCTTGCTTTTGAACTGCTAGGTTGGCAGGAGCTGGAACTAGAGACGGGAGCTCACTCCGTCATGCGGCAACCCGGGTCTCGAACTGCTGAACTACTGACCTTCCACAGCCTGCAGTTCAGCGTCTTAACCACTTGAGCCACCGCAGCTCAGCCCTAACAGCTACCCAAGAATTGCTTCTTGCAGTTAGCACATAGAAGTTACTCAGCAATTCTGTCAAGGCTTTCAGAACTTTCTGTTCATTAAATATTCAGAACATACTTTTCATTCGACTTCTCCTTGACTCTGTGTGCCTTGCTTTATTGCTTAACACCTCAATCCTAAGTATACTCTGATGAGAAATTTCCACTGAAACCAGCAGAAGTCTTCCTCCTAAGCAAGTGAATTTAGTAGTGAGGTATAAAAGTAAGGTAAAGGTAAAGGCTCCCTTGCTCGAAAGCCAGTCGAGTCCGAAGAGCCAGCGCTGTCCAAAGACGTTTCCGTGGTCATGTGGCCGGCATGACTAAACACCGAGGCGCACGGAACGCTGTTCCCTTCTCACCGAAGTGGTACCTATTTATCTACTTGCAATTTCTTGCTTTCGAACTGCTAGGTTGGCAGGAGCTGGAACTAGAGACGGGAGCTCACTCCGTCTTGCGGCACCCGGGTCTCGAACTGCTGAACTACTGACCTTCCACAGCCTGCGGGTCAGCGTCTTAACCACTTGAGCCACCGCAGCTCCTATAAAAGTAAAAAAAAACCCCAAAACAAAAAAAAACCTTCCAAGCATAGACATTCTCTTTATGAGTTCAGCTTTAATACACTGAAACACCAGTAAACCGAGAGTCACTGCAAGTCATTCCTGGACAGAAAACTAATGACAAAAAGAAAGTGAACGCCAGCCTGTCAAGCCAAGACAGAAAGGCAGTTTTTAAACCTAGCCTACTGTTAGAAGGGGTGAGGGATTCCCTCTACTTACTGGACACAGTACAGGAAGTGAGAGTGGTAATCTGCGTAGACAAAAAAGGAGTCACCGTCTGAATGATCAAGGACAGAATGACTGTTCTGGAAATAGTTGAGTACACTCAGGATGGTACAGTTGTTGTTGTAGGGGGAAAGAGGGGCCAGGCAAATGTCCTTCAGCATTACGGTGTCATTGTTATAATAAGCAGTTATATCTTCAATAGCATCCTGCAAATCTAGCACCTGGAAATATGAGAAAGCAAAACACCGAAATGGCATTTAGTAAAATACAAGAGAATTTTCCCTATGTTCATGCATTAAACAGTCTTTTATACAGTATTTTGACAAAAACCACGAAACAAAATGTGTCATTTAATTAAAAAATTCTCTCTTGGTGATAACAGAGGCTTCACAGTATTAATTAGAAAAAAGTCAGAAAGATAGTAATGAATGCTGTAACATCACGTACTCATAAAGCTTAATAAGCCAGTCTTTAACTGTCTATATTAGAAGCAAACAGTTATCTAATGATATATCTAATCTGTACCCAGCCCGTGATCAAAAACCCCACACACTAGGGCCAGGTACCCAGTAGTAAAATGTTTTGTACAAACTTGAGACAAACCCTGACACTGTGCCACACAATCTCAGCTGCCCTTCTGAGGGCTGCTTAGAAACCCCATAAACACAAAGAGCCAAAGAAAGCAGAAGCAGCTGCAAGGTGCCACTGCTGGGTGCACAAGGAGGCGGTCCCACTGTAACACTAGAGGTGATGGGGGGAGGGGAAGGAGGTGGCAGGAAGGGTGACAAGAGTCATCACTGGGTGAGTCAGGCAGGTGAACAAGGCTGTGCTGTGAGCAACCAGACAGGCAGGTGTGGCAGTGACTGGAGAAGCAATGAGGAAGGTGCCACTGCTAGGTGAACCCAGGAAGGGACAGAAGAGGCAAGGGGGCAGGTAAAGGAAGAGAAATAAGTGGGGAGGGAAAGGGCCAGAGGGAAAAGGCCAGTGGGAGACAGGAGAAATCAAAGAGGGAAATGTGGGGAACACAGAGTAAACAAGGTAAATTACAATCCCACCCTCCCCCATGCATGTCTTATGGGCCCCCACTTATTGAATTCTATATTACAAATTAGCATGCCGCCATTGTGAATGCTAGATTAGGTGCATCATGATTTCCTGGAGCAATCCTAAATCAAAGTGTGTATAGTTAACCTAGTGCTCCAATAGAACAGCAAGCCTCACAGAGCCACAACAATGATGGTAAATACCAGAGCAGATTCTGCAAGGGTGCACAAATCTGACTACCCTTTTTTGGCAAGCACCTAACCTGAAATAGTCGAGGGCTTGATGGAAGGACTTCAGCCACAGTGGGATTTTCCTGGTTTCTTTATCAGGAATTGCTAATAACGTCCCAAAGACAAGGAAAACCTGCACTCAGCTATCCAGGCCTTACATGTACACCTACTGCACATGCAGAGGGCCAAGTTCTGTATTACCTGATGTAAGATCTCTTTGGTAAGGGGTGGCCCAAAGGGAACATCTGCTCCTGATGGGTACGGCGAGTAGATCTCCGGCTTGGTATTTGGAGCTTGAATAATAAGTTGCTCAGTACGGAAGAAAGGTCCAAAGTGAGTGTCAAAATACTCCTTCTCTTTACGAGCTTGACTACGGGGTGATGACCAGAGATCTATGGGGTTTGTAGTTACTTTCACAAACATCAGGCCTGAGGAGCACATGGCAATAATAACCAGGGAGAAGACAATAACAGGCCTGGGATTTCGGACACAGAAAGCTCCCCATGATGTGAATGTGACTCTTAACGCATTCTCAAACTTCTCACCAAGCCTTTCACACCAAGAAGCATCACCTGCAAGAATATACAAGGTAAATGACATTGCTCTCATTCCACAACATGACTATCTAAGTAACATTTAAAAAGCTAAGTGCTTTGGTTGACTGTAATATAGATGCAAAAGCATAAAACTGAGGTGACAGCCAATATATTGCTATTCTCAGTTTCACCTAAAACAGAACATGATCCAACTATTCTGTGCTTTCTGGTCTGTGCACATATCCCCCCCCCCCCAAGACAGCACAGCAAATTGGGACACAACGAGGCTGAAGATACCCCTGAAGGCCAAGATACATTTAAAAGCCAATCATGTTATACGATTAGGTTCATTTTCAGCTAATGAAAGTGGAGGGAAGTAAACTGATGTAGAAGCTGGCAATACGAAACAATATGCCAAAAATACTGACCTAGTATATAACCACAAAACAATAAAGAGTAATTTTAGCAATGGTGTTATGATTGCCATTGTAAAGGGAGAAAAACCAAACGACACTTAGTCAAACTCTATCATTACTGTCTAGTACCTACCAGTATTCTGGTGTGAATTAACAGAATAAGCAATGTTGCTGTCAATAGGTGTGTACTCAGAAACAAAGTGCCTCTTCCTGCAAAGGAAAGCACACAGTATATCACTTAGATCATTCTTCTGTTTTGATTAAAGACATGCCAGACCAAGAAGAACATAGACAGAGATCGTCAACACCTAATGTAAGAGTTGTAAAACTAAACCTCTTAGGCCCCAATGGCTTGCATTCAGACCAACACTCTCTCTTCAGATGTAGTCCAGTACACAACTCATGAACTGAATACACAACCTCTTCCTATAGGCACAAGAATGTGTAGTTGTGATGATAGAGCAGCATGTTTTGGAAACCAAGTCTGCACTGATACACAGTGTATTAATTTCAATACTCTTGCACAAATAGGTTGTATACCAGGCAAGTAGGTTTGCACTGATACTTTCTTATGGAATACAACATCCAGACCAGACCATTTCAGTGGCAAAACCGGCCACATCTAATGTCTGTAGATGTTCCCCAGCATAGCACCATTAAGTGGATACCTTTTTACAGTCTCCTTGCCTGAATATTTCTTCTCTATGACTGATGTGTTCCTCCCTATCCTTCCACTAATTCAGTTATTTACTCTTCCTCTTTAGGGGTAACCATACCTTGCATATAACAGAAAACTACGTTTAGCTGTAAAGACTAACTAAATTAGAAGGGGGAAACCATGAACCTGGGGTCAAGATACCAAACCATGGTTTGGTATATTGTATGTGAACTGACCCAACTGACTCCAAGCTTCTCTAAAAGCACCCTAGTTTAAAATACTACTACAACAACTAAATTTTAACTTGTTGGAACTAAATGTTTGTCACTAAATTTTTAAGCAGTCTTACCTGTCTTAATGACAATTCTCTGCTGTTGCAAGACTGGCCTTTTAAAAGGCTTCCGCAGTCAAACACATGACCATCAGATACATCAAAATTAGTTTACACTGACAATATTTGGTGTGCAGCATTTCAAACAACAGCTTTATTGTACCCAGCTATGATGATGCAACTGTGCTTAAGCACAGACAACGTTTCTAAGGGACATCAGTCATAAATTTAAAAAGCAACTCTGAAAACTACATTTTATGGAGAATGTGTCCCCCCTGGCCTGGTGTTTGCTTGTTTTTAAAAAATTAGGGACAAAAATAGCTACAAATAAATGTTCCTAAGAGAGTTCTTGTTCATCATCATATTCTTCTGCCACCTTTTGTATTTTTGAATCATACAAAGCTCTACAGCTGAAGCGAAACAAGGCATTGCTCACACTAACCATTCCTAAGCTTTGCCTATCCAAATTTCCCCCACTTCAACCAAATTACTTTAAGGTAGCCAACTCATCACACTGCATGGGCTCTCCATCATAGATATCACTATAAACTAATGAATGAACATGGAAAGTTATGCATATGGTTACTATGATATCCTGAACCTATACATTTTAAAACACTTTAAGCAACATGCACTGACAATGGGTATTTAACCGAAAAACACTATAAACAGAACTACTGAAATTCTCAATAAAGGTGCATTTTGTAAACATTCATCAAACAGCTTGTGTACATGCCATTTAACCTTATATTAATGAAAGCACAATGAATTTTTCAGTGTCAAGACTTTGTACATTATATATAAAAGGGTGGCTATTCACCTGTAACACCAGACTCCCAAAACCACTGCAAAAAACACAAGTAAAAATCCCATGTAGGAGATCCACATGATGACATACATAGCATCCAAACCAAGCAAAAGCCATGGTGCGGGAGGTGGAGGGGGCTTTGGTTTGGGACCACAGACAGCAGAACAGTCCTGACAGCTGCACGGCCCTGTAGAGTCATCCACAGACTCGTTGCAGCCTTTGGTGGCATTATTCATAGGAGTCATTCCATGGATGGAAACATCTGAACAAAATACATTAAATACAAAAACAAAAAGGTACAATATGCCACTGAGTCTGCACATACAACCTATGACTTAAAAGTGACACAAACAGCCGTTTGGCATCTTTGTCTCTTAGTATTAGTAAGCCATCAGAAGAATTCCACAGCTCACTCATACTAAGTTTACTGAAGCACTGGTAATGTAAGATGCTTACTAATCTCAATACATTAGAAAACCTGCAGAAAACTGCTCAGAATTACATAAAACCATTTTTTGTAACAAGTTACCCTCTCCGACACACATAGAGCACTATGATCACAATGCTGAACTTCCATGGCCATCAGAGGTTGAATTTTAAGTCTGTCCTTACCGCCCCTTCCCCAAAAAAGAGCAAGGCAGCAGCTTTGGAGGTGTTGTAGCATAGGTCTACACTCAAAGGTACAAGCCTCCTCTGCAGCTCACCTTTAGTTGGATTCAGCAGTATTCCAACTACCTTGACAGGCACGATCTAGCCATGGTTATCCACACCCTGGTCACACCCAGTTAAATTAATACACTCTACATGAGGCTGCCTTTGAAGGCAGCTCAGAAGTCTCACCTTGTGCAAAGAACACCAGTGAGATTACTTCGTGGTATGGATTACAGGGAATGTGTCTTGTCTGTATGAAAAGGCCTATACTGGCTACTAATTATTTCCAGGCACAGTTTAAAATGGTTGGACCAGGTTATTTGAAGGAACAGCTACTCCCACATGAGCCTGTCCATCAGTTAAGGCCCTGGCTGTCTGCACTCTCACCTGGAGAGGAGAGCTGAGCAAGCACCAGCAACGGGGCCTTTTCAGTTTCGGTGCCTCAGTTGTTGAGCTCCTTCCCCCAGAGACTCACCTAGCATGAAAAGGAGTGCCTTTTCTTCCCCCCCCCCCATGCCTTTTGAGGATTCCCCACACATTCTCTCCTGCCCTCATACATAACTGTTTCCTGAATATTTTTATGGTAGCCCTTGGTTATGATGCAGTACTATATATTGTTAGAGCATTTAATTATATTATTTTATACCATACTCTGGTTGTGGATTGGGGGGGGGATATATTTCTGGTCCTAGTCCTTGTTTAATTACTAATGCTGTATTTTAGCTGATATATACTTGACTAAGGGAAGCCACTTGAGAAGTGGCAAGGAGTTAGGCTTGCCAAGTCCCCCCGAAGGGCAGGGAAACCCCTGCCCCAGAGGCCCGTTCCCCGCTGCCGGCGGATCGGGCCCCGGGGGGAACCCCACCCCCAAAGCATGGGACGTGCCCGGTGTCAGCACGTCACCCGGAAGAGACCCAGCGACGCCGGGCACGCCGGGGGCGGGGCCGCAGTCATCCGAGGGAAAACTTTTATGTTTTTCCCTCGGATGACTACAGCCCCGCCCCCGGCGCGCCCGACACGGCCGCATCACTTCCGCTCCTGGAGCAAGCCGGGAGTCCCCCGCTGCGGCTTAAGGTAGGACTTGGCAACTCTACAAGGAGTACAGGGTGTAAAGGTTTAAAAGCAGCCACATTTTCACATCACTTCAGATTCTTTCAGCTGCAGAGTCTATGAATTTTAAATAGATCAAAACACTGGCCTTACTGTGAGGGCTTCTCATCAGTGCAATGGAATGTATCCAGAAATGGGTTAGGCCCCCTACTTGCTCTGCATGAAGGGCTATGCAAAAAAGTTTTGGGTTTTTTTGCAGTGCTCCCACATCTGGCTAGGGGATGAGCCCAAGTTCATGCTTGCCACAGTAAACCGAAAATCTGACCTGGGACTTAAGGTGCCATCCATTCTGGATGGAGTTCCTGTCCCTTTGAAGCAGCAAGGTCCATAGTTTGGGTGTGCTCTTGGCCCAGGCCATCTGTTGGATATGCAGGTGGCAGCTGTGGCCAGAGAATGCCCTTTGCCAACTTTGACTGGTTAACCAGCTGCAGCCCTTCCTGGGGAGAAAAGATCTGGCCACTGTGGCGCATGCCCTGGTTACATCTCATACAGATTACTGCAATGCACTCTATGTGGAGCTGCCCTTGTGAAGAGGTTCGTAAACTCAAACGGGTGCAGCGCATTGCAGCCAGGATGCTGATCAGAGTGGGTCATTGGGGCCTGATCAGTCTTTGCCCTTCCACACTGGCTCCCAAACTGTTTCCAGGCACAAGCCAAGGTGCTCATGTTGACCTTTAAAACCCTTCATTGCTTGGAAGTGGAATACCTGATGGACAGCCTACTCCCTTACGAACCTACTCAACTGCTATCTTCCCAGGCCCTGCCTTCTGAAACTAGGTGGGTGGCAGTCTCATGGCACCAAACCTTGGGAATTCTCTCCGCAGAGAGATTCACGTGTCCCCTCCCACTGCTGCTTACCACCAGCGGATAAAGGATTTCTTGTTTTGTCTGGTATTCTCTCGGTAATCCTTCCTTCCTCCCATTCTGATGTATTTTTTATTGTACTATACGTTTATTTTAATGTTACTTTAACTGTTTGAATGATGTGTTTTTGTTTGGTTTTAATGTTTTTAAGATACATTTTTATTAAATATATTTTTAATCTGTGAGCCACTTTGGTGGCCCTGATGATGGCAAAAGAGAGTTATATTACTTTTGTAAATAAATAAATATATATAAATGGTGTTCTTGTTCAGCTAGATAAAGCTGAAATCCATTAATGAACAATTTCAACCAGTGATTGATCATACCTGTGCTATTATTTCAACTGGAATTCCCCAACTTGAGCTCTTGAAATGGAAGTAGCAGGATAAAATGGAGTTATAACTAGCACTTCCCTCAGTTTTTTTAATCTTTTGTAGTTTTGAAACACATCATTTATAGATGGCGATTAAGAATGTAATAAACTTTCCCACAGAATACTAAACAATTGCTAGGCTGAAGTTAAAAAGAAACACAAAAGTAATTCTAAAGTAACTATTCTGCTGCCTGCACTTCTAAATTAGCCAGATTAATGTAACTGCAAAAGATAAAGCCAAATATTTTCGTATGTTTTACAACAGCAGCTTAATCACTTATGCATGTAATATAAAGCTGCTACTAACCATCTTGCTAACTACAGTTCGGTAAGGAAAAGTATCTTAAAACATTTGTATTTCTTACCTGAAAAAACTGCAATGATGTTGAATGGAGCCTGACCATTATCCTTGCTGAACATATACTGAATCCAATTGGTTGCATTGCATTCTTTAACATCTCTCCCACACAACAGTCCTAATGCTTTAACATTGCTTGATGGAGCTTCCACATCTTTACAGGCATTATACATAGCTAGAAGTGTGGATGAGAAAGAAAATATTGCCAATATTGAAAGATACAAATGGAATGTTGTAAGTTGTCTACGAGAATAAAATACCTCTAAGTTTATAACAAGACTCATGGACATAATGGAAACTGTAGAATTAACCATAACCAATGGCAAATATCCCTCTTATCAATGTTATGAATAGAAGTGAAAGAGGCCCTGTCTCCCTCTGCACAGTTTTGCTGAAGCGACAAAACATCATGTTTTGTCTTTTGGAGAAGGCAGAACAAAGGGAGACATCCAGGGTGGCAGACACCTCACTCAAGGGACAGGAAATAAGGGTGAAATTGCCAATCTGTGGCTGTGGTCAAGAAACCAAGTGAAGTACAAGTAAATTGCAGCAAGGCTCTGGTTCTCCAGTCTGTGGTGAGCAAGGACACTGCACAGCAGGAAAGTTATGCAACAGGACTGTTATTTGAAGCAGCTGTAGCCCAGCTGCTGCCTCAGGCAAGGAAGAAAATACCAGATCAGTTGTCAGAGTGGGCAAGGCACCACTGCATGACTCCCAAAGCCTGGAGCCATTGGGGGGGGAATAGGAAGGACACACAATTCCCATGAGAGGGAAGGGTCTAATTTTTGCCCAAGTAAAGGTCTCCTAAATCAGTCTCATAAATAGAACTAGTGACTGATCCCCATTAGCCAGCAAGATGATTACTTTCAGGGCTTTTTTTGTAGAAAAAGCCCAGCAGGAACTCATTAGCATAATAGGCCACACCCAACAGCAGAAACTCATTAGCCTATTAGGCCACAGCCCTGACAGCACAGCTCATTAGCATATTAGGCCACACACCCATGTTACCAGAAGTGTGGTCATCCAGCCACGCCCACCTTTTGCATCTTATTCTGTTGACCTTGTTTGTGGTCAAAACCCAGGGCTTTTTTTGTAGCAGGGACTCCTTTGCATGTTAGGCCACACACCCCTAATGTAGCCAATTCTAATGCGTTTCTGCTCTTGGGTGTGGCCTATTATGCTAATGAGTTCCTGCAGGGCGTGGCCAACTTGGAAGCCAGCCGGAACTCCGTTCCTGTGTGTTCCTGCCCCAAAATAGCCCTGATTACTTTTAATGTTTTCCCACCCCAGTCAATCACTTATGGCCTGCAGATGTACCACCCAGCCATTTATACATGTATATGTAGAAAAATAATCACTTTTTATAAATTAAGGGAGTAAACAATAAATATCTGATTGGCTAGCTTACAATTAGCAAATGTTTTTCCAATGTAATACTGCAGCTCTGTGATGCTGGTTTTGTTCTCTTTGCTAACAGGATCATAATATGGAAGCGTTTGTGTGACATTTAGAAACTTGGACTGATGAGGACCGCAGGTTAGCTCACAGAACAGATTTACGAAGTTATAAAAACATGATGGACACCTGAAAAGAGACAGGCAACATCAGAATACATACAGTATATGGAATAATATACAACAAATATTTATCAATATATTTAATTCTCAATCTGTCCCCATCTGTGACTACTTAAATTTGCGGACTGGGGCCAGGTGGAAGGAAAGGGGACTTTTGTTTTGCAAGCTTGGGGAATATCTCAGGTTTGCAGAAAAATCTGTTAAATTTAACAACATGGGGGGCATAAAACCCACAAACACAGGAACAAGTTGCCTGCACCGTTGTGGCCAGGGGGGGGGGGGGGGGGGGGACACCACACAGCCCTATGCACCCTAATGCAGTTCACCCCACCTTTTCTCTGGGGAATGATGGGCCAGGAGAAGCAGCAAGACCTACCCCCAATGAAGTGGTGGCACTGCAGGCAGGTGAGGAGAAACAGGAGCCTTTGCTGCCTTGCCTTCAGCCAAATGGATGGGTGGGCAGGCATTGCTATTGCCACCTGAACTGCCTCTGCATAAGCCACTGCCAGCTGGCTCACCTACCCACTCACTCACTCCTGGCAGTGGAGGGTGCAATGTGGGCTGGTGAGGAAGGAGCCACTGCCCCACTATTTCTTAAGTCAGGTAGAAAGGCAAGGGGGGGAAGTAGGAGCCCTGCCCTCCTCTCCTCTACTGAGGTGGTACAGCAGCAGTCAGCCAGGGAGCTGCTGCTACTCCCTCACTGGCAGGTGGGGAGAAGGACAGACAGGTGGGCAGGAGGATGAGTAGGAGCTAATGCCACTGCCCTCCCCCATAACTGCTGTGTAAGCTGCAGAGGGGAGGCAATGTGGCTGGGAAGGAAGGAGCTGCTAATGCTGCTCCCCTACCACCTGCACCTGGAAGGTGGGCGCGCCTGGTGGGTTGGCAGATAGGGGAGGCAGACTGCCTGGCAAGTGCCTTACCCAGCAATCAAGAAGAAAGAGTAGGAAGAGATTCCCCCTGCCCCCACAAGTCTTGCAGGTTCCAACTTGGATACACCTGAGAAACCTGTGATTGTACTGGCTCTATTCTGCATGATTTCAATTATCAAACGATGTGTGGATTGGTATCTGAGATATTCCTTGAGAGAACAGTGAATAACGTTAAATTTATTTATTTTCGACATTTATTTATGTCATTTATAGTCCGCATTTCTCACTTGGTCTCTGGATGGATTACACAGTGTGAGTCAATACAATCAACAGGGTGGAGTATTCAATAATCTAAAAACAGAACTGAAGCAAGACCTAAGTCTTCACATGATACATTAAATGATGCAAAAATTACATAGTAGGACCCTTGTTTCAGCAAGCTAAACACAGAAGTATAGACCATAGTCCTTAAATTATGTAATTTTATTAAACATTTACTCTGTTGCCTGCATAGAAAAGCCCTCTTGAATAATTCGGTTTTGCATAGTTTATGGAACGCCAGGAGAGTAGGAGCCTTCCTGACTTCCTCAGGCTGATCCATAACGTGGGGGCACAACAGAGAAGACATATATCGGCAGTTGTTGATTTTGCCCGTTGGCACCTGCAGAAGACCCTGCTCAGAGGAGCAAAGCTGTCGTGGCAGTGTGAAGGGGGAGAGATAGTTTTTCAGATATGAGGGTCCAAGGCCATGAAGGGATTTGTATGTGACAGCCAGTACCTTAAACTAGCAGCCAGTGGAGTGACTGTAGAATGGGAATAATATGCATGTTCCATCTAGCTCCCAATAATAGCCAGGCTAGTGCATTCTGTACCAAACGTTTCCGAATTAATTTTCAGGGAAGACCAATGTACAGTGCATTACAGTAGTCTAGTCTGGATGTCACAGTAGCATGGATCCAGGTAGCCAGATCAGCTGTATCAATGTAAGGGGCCATCTTACAGCTTAGGCTGAGTTGAGAGAAAGCCTTTTTGCAGCTGCATTAACTTGCTTCTCCAGCAATACTGCTGCACAGTATAACCCAAGGCTCTTAAATGAGTAAGCAAGGGTCAGGTGAACCCCATCAAAGATCTCCATTTTCCCAACCAACATCACCTCTGTCTTTTCCGGGGTTAATTTCAAGTTGTTCACTCTTAGCCAATTTACCACAGCTGTCAGTCAGTTATTCAAGACCTCAACCTCCTCACCAGGAGATTTGGATAAGGATATACAGAGCTTGGTATCATCTGCCCATTGATGACAACCAACCCCAAAGCTATGAATGATTTGTCCTAAGGGATTTACATAGAGGTTGAAAAGCATGTGGGATAGAATTACACCCTGTGGAACTACGCAGGTTAGGTCCCACACTGATAATAATTGGCTTCCAATAGCAACCCTTTGAATCTAATCTGTGAGGAATGATTTGAACCAGTTCAGCACGCATCCACTGATACCAACTTCTGCCTCCAAGTGCCTTGACAAGATGGTATGATCTACTGTATCAAAGGCTGCAGATAAGTCCAGTAAGAGCAACGAACAGGTAAAATTTGTCTACATTCAGAATGAGGTCATCAACTAAAGCTAGCAGAGCTGTCGCTATCCCATAGCCCCTCCTGAAACTACACTGAAAAGGATCTAGAGCAGATGAGTTATCCAAGAAGACCAGGTCTGCTACTGCTCTCACAATCACTTTGCCTAGAAAGGGCAGGTTAGAGACTGGGAAATAATTGGCCACATAATTTTTCCGTAGGGACGTTACCTTCATTTTTTTTTTTAAGAATGCCTATTAGACAGCCTCTAATTTAAAATAAAAAATCCTCCATAGCAGGGCTGCCTGGTTTCTGTCCTCACTAAGTTGGACCATCTTATTGGTACAGTATCAAAGTTTGGCTGCAGTAATTCTTTACCAGTGAAGCCATCCCACCCCACTGTCTGCTTCTCTACTGAACCGCAGCCACAAGAGGCTCTTGGTGTGTTAAACACTACACAATTGGTGATATAGTCCCATCAAATCTGTCTGAATGTTTTATTGGCTGGGCTCTTGCTGTAGTGCTGGCCACTTCTAGGGTGAACCCAGAAGTGGCATCATGCTACTTTATGATTCAGTGGAAACACTATGGTAAAAACACAGAGTTTGCTCTAAATCCTAGACCAGCACAATGTCACTTGCAGGATCAACCTGGAAATGATGCCACATCATTGATGTGACAGTGCCCCTCCCATGCCCTCCCTGTCCCTGGACAGGTGCCAGCAGCTGGCTGACAACACTACTTCTTAGGGAATGTTGCAGGTAATAACTAACATACCTGGAAAGAAACTGCAAAGGAAGGTCCAAGTTGGCTTTGAAACTCTGAAGCTGCGGCACATCACAACAAAGACTAACATTCCCATAGAAGAAACCTGGGCAGAGTTCCTTGACAAAAAAAACAGATATTGAATGAAAATTTTTTAAATGATAAAAATAATACATCTCAGATTTGTTTCTACTCTAAAAGTCCTACTCCTGATTCTGAACACTGTAATTAAGAAAATAACTCATCGGTTTCGAGAAAACATATTTCAAAATTAGCGTGACCGTCAAAAGTAATATTTCATTCTACCTTAAAAGTTCCAGTTAATTGGAATAAAGGAGACTGGATTTCACCTCACTTTAAACTTCACAGGACTTAAGAACTGGCCCCCGAACTGCAGAGAACTGAGTTCAATAATCAGAATGCAGTTTACAGCATAGTTAACATATTATATTATACAAATTAATACTAGGGATAAGAATTCATACATAATCTACTGTAATGAAAACAAACTTTATTTAGACACAATTTAAGAGGAAAAGTATTCCTATGTATTCTACCTCAGCTCCTTTCAAGTTGTTATTTTTAGGATCATTGGGGAACATTCTTATCCATAGATTTACCTGTATTAGTTCATAGCCATCCTTTGGTAGAGGCAGTGGTGGTCCATCATATTTACAATTGTACCTTTTATCATCAGAAGCATTTCCACACTGACCGTACCAGACACAGGAGTCTGAAAATACCTAAATAACAACAGCAACAACAAAAGTTAGGGACCCAAAATACGTCAATTAGTCTGCAGTCGTAACTCTGAGGATATTTTGAAGTTAAAGAAAGTTAAGATGAATTAAAGCTCAGCATTTTTATAACTCCGATTTCTTCCCATTGTGAAAACATTTCCTAGGAGTAGATGTTCAAAACCATGGCTGATATCAAAAGAGCTAGTTTAGGTGCACCTAAGGGCTTGACCCTAAGCACTTTTAGAATTTTATTTGTGGAACAGCAGGCTACTGAGGCATTACAAACATCTTTTGAAAGTCATCTCAGTTGCTGAAGCAATCTGTCATGTGAATGCTATCAATGAAACAAAAGCCCTGATTCTGCTCAGAACACAGAATTAGGTGTATGTTTTGTTTTATTTTTATTTCTGTCATTTATACTCCATCTTTCTCACTTGGACTCAGGTGGATTACACAGAGTGAGTTAACACAATCAACAGGAGGGAGGGAGGAATTCAAGAAGCAATACAATAGGATTAGGGTTGTAGAGCCAATCAGAAATCTTAAAACAGAACTGAAGCAAAAAACACAGACACACTGAGCCTTTTAAAGAGATAAAACCCAGTACAACACACCACAATTCACCCAATGCAGAAAGTACAATTCACCCAATGCAGAAAGTACGTAATTTAACACCACTATTATTTTAAAACTATATCTTGAGCAGACTGTTGACTATCTGTATTCTTACTACATGTAACAGATCTTGCTATCACGTGATAAGACCCATACTAGAACTGACACTAATGTTCATGAATAGCTGAAGCCGTTTAAGTTTTAGAATGTAGATTTTAATTTCACTTCATTCCAATTTAAGATTCCTGAAGAGAGCAAAGAAAGATGAAACTATTTGTTGTTGTTCAGTTGCACAGTCGAGTCCGACTCTTCGCGACCCCATGGACCAGCGTGTGATATGAGTGCAATTGTGCGATAGTTTAAACAAATGAAACAGACACCCACAATACAAAAATTAAGAAATTATTGAAAGCAACAATTAAAAACAATATCAATAGACTAACAAAGCAAGCATGCACACACGCACCACAGGAGTATTACACGTTTTTATCAAATGAGAATACCGCAAATGCCCTCAGGAACAAAATTCACCTTCCCTTGGCATATACACAATGACCAAGGGTTAACAAGGTGAGATTTCCTCGTGAAGAAGGCTATCTTGCTCTCCCCTTGTTACTGTTTAGGCAGCAAGCCCAATATCCAAAATGAAGCTAGTCATCAGATGTTAGATATGTGATGTGTATTTTTTAAATTTGCACCAAAAATTATTTTTACTATATTTCTCTAAAAGTACTTATTTTCTAAATACTTGAACACGGGGATTAAACATAATTTTTTTCAGGAAAAGATGGTAAGAACAGTTTTGGGGTACATGTGTTTTACTCAAGAAGCTGATGTAAATTATGCTGAAGAAAAGCAATCAATTGATAACAAGTAAAAGGTGTACAAAGGCCCAGGTAAGGATACTATTTCATGACTTCCCGATGTGTAAGAGTCTGTTAATAATCAGCCCTAGAGTCGGACTCGACTGGCTTTCAAGCAAGGGAACCTTTACCTTTAATAGTTTTAATATAGCATCCTGGGATGATGAGACTATAATACTGTGCTGTATGAAAAAGCCTCCAAAACAGTATTACATGGGTGCAAACAGTAGCACCCCCAATGAGAAAACACCTCGGAGTTTTGAACTGAGATAAGGTTGGTGAAATGTTGCTTTTCAAAACTTAAGCTCAGAAAACTTTGTCAATGTAAGCTCAACTAATAACTTCAGTTATTATCGATGGACCTACCATTCACCCCAGAATGTTATTTGTATATAAGTGCTGAGCATGTTATTCTGACAATGCCAATATTAAAACAAGGGCAGAGATTGCAAATAGATAAAGGATAGCAAGAATGCCAGTGCCTTCAGTAATTCAGAAGAAAACGACAGCATCTCAAATATTTGAAGGGGGGTGGACGGACACAGACTCTTACAAAGCACAGACTTACAAGACAAGATGTTACATACATCATGTGACAAGTCTTCTGGTCATAACACATTTCCAAAGAGCTGGAAGGAAATGTGCTGACAGCAGGCACTTTTGTATCTTGTCCCTAACACAGAGGTTTTTCCTTCCAGCCAGCACTACATGAACTAGAAATCACAATTAGAATAACAAAGTAATAGTGTATGAAGTTTAATAGGGTCATGATGTATCTCTGCCAAGTCCCCAATCCAAATGTTATCTCACTCACACATTCACTAGGTGGCAAACCCATATTATCTCAGTTCCCTTATTCACACACATAACTATAATACTGGCCTATTTTGCCACTTTAAGGTACTGAACCATGGAATTTGCACTTTGGGAATGCTCAGAGGCTAAACTAAACCTACCCTTATAGGCAGTCAAGAAGTTTCAGACTAAGCTTCCCCCCCCCCCCCGCAAATTCTAGACTGCAAAGATGCATGATGTCAATTCAAGTGTTCATGGAGTTCACCAGAAGAACAAAAGACCTTGCCTGAAAGATCTATAATGGCACCAGAGCACTGAAAACTGCTGAGATTTTTCTAGGAGCTGGCTAGTAATTTTCCTTTAGGTATATTTGGGAGAGGGGGCTCTAGTGGGCAATAGGTTGCCAAGGGTGGCAACTGGCCAGAAGCTCATCTTGCCTCCTTCTACTGGCAATGTCACGGCATCACTTCCAGGCTGATCTGGAAGTGACATCATCATAAATGGTGACACTCTAGCACTCACATAAACTTCTGTGGTTTAACCATAGAGTTTTGTGTGAATGATAAATCATCGCCCAGTGCAATGTTGTCACTTTGGGGTTGCACCAGGAGTGATGTAATGGTGTTGGACCGATGCCAATACCCCTCCTGTTTCCCCCAGAATTTTTCTCTTCTGTTGTCCAGCTTAGTGGCATTGGGAAGAACCAGCCCGGGGAAGAAAACTTCCCAATGAACTGGGAGACCTGGCCTCTCTAAGTATAAGAGAAGGAAATGGAAAAGAAGATTCAGGAATTCTTTTGGGAGGAAGAAAGGAGTCAGACTTCAAGAAGAGGTCAGCAAGGAACATCTCCTCCCATATTGTCTAGCCTGACAGCTAAGATCTTCCTCACAAGCCCTGCTCTATATGCCCCTGCCATCAGAGGGGAGGCAGGAGGGAACTAGAGACCGACCCTCTTCAGTGATGGGACCTCACCTGTGAAATGCCCTTCACCTTAAGACTCACCTGGTGCCTACTCTACTTTCTTTTAGCTGCCAAAGCCAAAATGGTCCTGTTTACCTAGGCTTTCAATTAAGGGGATGATTTTTTTTTTTAAAGCAACATTATTTTACGGTCTGTTTTTAACCTGAGAAATGTTTAAGACCCATTTTAAGCTGCCCTTTCTGTAACCAAAAACATCTTATTCAAGTAACTGGCATTATGTGGCCGGTCCACATTCAAACAAAGTCTAACATGGGTCATGCTTACCAAGTTACAAAGGTAAGGTAGGAAGATGTGTGCCTGGTTCTGAAATAATAAGCAAATCTTCCAAGGTTTTCCCCTACAGCCAAGATGGTTGGAGGACGACAATGATTCTTAAGCAAAAGAAATAGTGTGTTTGGGTTGCGAGTTATCAGGCAAGCGTAACTCTCAACTGCTGGTGTCTGTGAATAAGAAGAGTGGAATAAAGCTGGGAGTTGAACTGTTCCACAAGGCCTAAGCAGCCTGGGATCTGGCCCAGCTGAGTCAGTTCCATATCCCCTGTGACAGAATGAAGTGCCTGTGGCACCTGTTTCAACTTATATAGGAAGTTCTTTGAATCTTTGAATTATTTTATTGAAATGCTGAATAGATCATTGTTGTGACTTAATATTTTCATTTCCAAAGTTTTCTGGGCTTAAGTTTTGAGCAGTACAATACATATAGCTACTTAACTCAGTATAAAACTCCAAAATGTTTCCTGATTAACAGTTCTACATAACATAACCCCATGGAAAATATAACTGGCACCAATATATCAAAGTTCTGGAAGCATATTTATTTTAGGACACTATGTTTTAAAACAAAAATTTCAGACATTTTATTTTTTTTAATGATCAGTAATTTATTACTTGCAAATATGCTTGCTTTACAAGGTCAGATTCCTACAGTCTATACTTGACCATGACTTTGTTCTCTTGCAAAAAGTGGAGGGGGGCAGATGGGCAGGGAAACAGGAGGGGATCACCCAGGAGAAGTAGTCTTCCACTCAGGTACTCTAATCACCAGCCAGATTTACCAGCCAGATTTACCAAACACTCATTACTTGTTTATCCTTGTAGGCCTTGTGCCATGAATTCTGGATCTGAGAGGAGCCCTAATTTATAACATCAGCCTGTGCCAACCACCTGAAAGACGCTGGAAGTAGACCTAAGAGACGGTTATGGGAAGAAAGAACTATTATAGTAGCCATCGCCGACCCAGCAACAACAATACTAGCACCTACTGTGTTATTGTTAACTAGTTTTAACATTGTTTTGTTTTAATTGTTTTATTGCAAATATATGCTGATTTTATGTAAACTGCCCTGAGCCGGCCTGGCTGGGAGGGCAGAGTAGAAATTTAAGAAAATAAAAAATTGTAGCTAGCAGAATCCCCAGACATGTAGGCTATGCCTTATTTGAACCATCCAGGAATGGAATAGAAATCTACTTCTCATTTCTCAATGTACTGTTGTTTGCTTCTGTGCTACCAGCCATTGACAGTATTATCTACTACAGCTCATTGCTGTAATACACACACACACATACACACACACACACACAAAAGTGGGGACCCGCAAGAAACTTGCAGGAAGGAGGCATTCCCTCACCTTTGCTTCCTTCCCTCTTCTCCTTTCTTTCCCTTTCTTTCTCTCCCCAAGCCATTCCCCCCTCCTCTCTTCCCCTCCCCCACCAAGCCACTACCCCATTTTTACCTTTCTCTCCCCCCTCAGCCAACTCCCCTTCTTTCTCTTTCTCTCCCACTTTCCCCAACCTATGAGCCCAGCAGCAGCAGCGCCTGGGAGCTGCTTCAAGCCTGAAGCAGATCCTGGTGGCGGTCATGTCCAGAGTGACTCCCAGCATCTGCCACTGCTGCAGCCAGGTCCAGAGCCTCTCCTGGTGTTCCCCACCACCGTGGCCAGGCCCAGAGCCTCTCCCAGCATACCCTGCTGCCACGGCCTGGAGCAGCTCTCAGAATTCCCCACTGCCATAGCGGGGCCAAACACCTCCTGGAGTTCCCTGACATCGTAGCTGGGCCCGGAGCAGCTCCATAGAAGCAGCAGCAGCCAGGCCCTCAGAGGTAATTTGTGTTGTCTGTAACTATGGTGGGGTGGATTTAAACCCCCCAATGTATTTCTTTTTACTTTTCAGACTTTTCTGCAAACCTAGGGGGTCACCCAAGTTTGAAGAAAAATCTGTTTGGGGTAAGTGTGGCCCCATCTGCAGATAATAATAAATGGACATAAATCAAACATTCAAAACTGCAACATTCAAAAACTATCAGGAAAACATTTTAATCTTCCAGGTCATTCCATTGCTGACCTAAGAGCGGCAGTCCTCAAACAAACAACAACAACAAAAAGTCAAGGGTCGATTACAATGCAAGATTGCTGAACTCTAGATAAATCACAACGCCCCCCCCCCCCCCCAGGCTGAATAGGGACACAGGATTCTTATCTCACTACAGATGCTAATTTTCTGCCCCCAAACATTTCGGCCTCTGCTCTAATCAAGATGATTACAATATACATAGTATCTCTGCATCCTTTACAAGTATTCTTTACAACTCTTCTCCCACCTTCTGACCAGGATGAAAGGACAAGATCTCCATTTCTCATGTCTGATGAAGGGAGAATCAACTCTCAAAAGCTTCTATCAAGAAACTCTTGTTGGTCTGGTCTCTAAAGTGCTACTGGACTCAAATCTAACTGTTCTACTGCAGACCAATTTCAGCTTCTCTCTGAAACTATTCTTGCCTATGTATCCCTCCCACCTCCATATCTAACTTTTAAAACACATATGGTTGAATCCTTCCACTCTATTCATTTAAGGGCAATTCAGTCAGTGCAAAGTGCATTCTACTGGCAGAAGACTCTTTGTGTCAACATGCTGCTCTTAGCTGAGCTGAGTCGTAGAATGCAGTCCACCCATGACAGTGCTACTCATCAATCCAAAACCAATATAAACGCACACTGTGTTTGGAACCAAGTCCTGGTATGCTGACAAAGACATCTCGGTTTTGAAGGGAAGTATTATCATAGTCTATGAAGTTTTTGTGCAGGCTTACAATCCTACACATACTGAGCATGGGGTAGGCTGGCTGTTGCAATTTCTATTGTACTCTTTCCTTCCCTGTCTGATTGTAGTTACCTTCCTCACAAAAAGCTTGTTTGTAGACCGATACTGGCAATACCATGGGATTCCCAGGGTAGCCTGAGAGCTTGTGGCTGTAAACACAAATGCTGCTTTCCTAACTACTGGGCTATGGAGGCTTCTCACACGAAAATTGCCATGGGTTCTTCTTTGCAGTATGTTCTTGTGTTTTGTGTAGGAGCAATGATTAAGCTCCATGACATTATCATAGTATCTTTCATTATCACATATGTTGATTGGAACTGTAGATGCATGGGTTCTATGGGGATGTTATGCACCAATGACATGACTGGTCTGTGGCAGTAGAGATGCCAAGGTCACAATTATGTCTATTATGCTATGGTGTCTCTTGGTTCCATTAGCAATACTTGGCTTTCAATCAAAATTCTACACTAAGCTGAAGTATCTACCACCAGTTTAGCAAGATCATACACTTAATCTTCCCATTAACAGTTGGTACTATTTTATGTATCATTTGGTCTATTTGTGAAATTCAAATAAGAATGAAAAGTATACCTTTAAGCAATGATTACAAATAAAACCAAATTAGATATGGAGCTGCCAGCTGATACAATAAGGCAGGACCCATGAATATATCTTTGAGAACTGGCAACCAGGAGGGAAAAGCTGGATTGTTTTTAATCACTGTGGTGAACAGAAAGGAGATAATTTGATGCTTAGAAATGATCAGCACTGTTAACAGAAAGACTCATCTTCCTAGATGTTTCATATTCAGGAAAGATAGTTCAGATAAAGCACATACATAAAATCTAAACTTTTGGTATCCACAATGATAGGAACTGGATGCCTAAAACACTGCTGTCTATCATGTTACCCTAAACAAGCACTGGAATTTGAGTTAATATTTTATTCAGCCATCTTTAAATAGTTTTGTCTGAGCACTACTTGAAAAAGATTCAACAGATATGACTACCTATTGCACTAACAGCTTCAGTTTTCCTAACGCAGGTTTTGTAGTAGTAGCAGCACAGACCACTGACTGAAGATCATATTTAATTATACATATCACAGATATATTATCTCAGTGCCTCCAGATAATATATCTTAACTATATAAAGCTAGAAACTGTTGGGGTGGGGACAAGTGAATATGAGCCAGTAGATACGAGTCAGTAAACTGAAGCTGCTAAGATTCCGACAAACTGCTGTGAAATTTACTAATTAAGCAAGTTGTTTAACTACTCTTCAGCATTTATTTCAGTGTTAGAATGTTTAGTGCTGTACAGAAAATAAGTGAGCTAAGTTTCAGTTTTTAGTTGTGATCTGGATAGCCCCAGACTATCCCGATCCTGTCAGATCTTGAAAGTTAAGCAGGGTCAGCCCTGGTCAGTATTTGGAAATTCACAAAGGAATATCAGGGACATGAGGCAAGCAACGACAAACCATCTCTGAACTTCTCTTGCCTTGATAACCCCACAGGTTTGCCATAAGTCAGCTGTGAGTTGACAGCCAAAAAAAAAAATCAGGTTATTTCAGACAAAGAACAGTGTAGCATTAAAGAAAATGATGTCTACACATCAGAAACAGAAACCATCTTTGCAAATAGATACAGACATTTCACCAGACCACCTGTTCATCATATTGGCCTTGAGTAGTGAGCCTGCAAACTACCTATCTCATGATCTCACTGTCTTACCTGTCCAATGACCACAGATATTCAGGGTAACTTGACATTTTAGCTGAATTCACCAAGCTGCTTTTCTACTGCAAAATGACTCTTATTCTTATTCTTTTCATAGTAAGTGAGATGTCTTAACACTGAATGGTTCACCACAGTTTAAGGTCATCTGTAGCAGAAATCAAGAGATGGATTTAAAACTGCCAAGTGTGAGCAATCGTACAGCAGAAGAGTCATGAGAAAGGAAGTCACAGAGGAAGGCTTGCCACTCGTACTAAGTCCTAGCCTGCAATCCACAAAAGACTGGAAACTTGATTCTGAAAACCAGTACAAGAACTGCTTAGACAAAAGACTGGAAACTTGATTCTGAAAACTGCTTAAGTTCAGAGACCCATGCTTCAGCATAAGTGTTCAGTGGACAACTAAGATCAGTGCTAGAGTCTTCACCCAGCATTTATCTTATTGTACAAAATCAGCAAAAGCAAAACTTCTTAAGAGCCACCTGAAGCAGTACTGTCCAATTACTATTCATAAATGCGCCACCTAATATAAAAGGAGATAAGATGCAACGGGAGTCATGTTTTCGGGCAGAACCAAACTCCCCACCCCACCCCTTAAGATCACCGTCTACTTTGTGTCTTACCCCAACCCACAACCACGGCGTAAAGACAAGCCTCTTCCCTCTCCGCCATACAGAAGCACCTGATTCAGGGAGGCCCCGAGTCCGGCGGCGGAATCCTCTCCTTTCAAGGCCGCAAAACTTTCCCCATACCCGGCCGGTCTTGCCCCATTCCCCCAGAAACACTCCACTCACCCGGCCGGGGAGCAGCGCTAGCAGACCGACGAAGGCAAGGCTGGGGCCCCAACGCCACCCTCCGCCTGGGCGGACCAGACCAGCCAGCCTCCCCATCTTCGCACAGCCCACGGCGGCCCCACTCGCTGCTAGTTGCTGGAGGGCTGCGGCGCTCGAGGCGGCCCCGTGGCAATCCAGAAACCGCTCAGCGCCGGGAGGGCAGCCCCTTCTCCGGGGCTGGGTTCTATCGGAAAGATCGAACGGACGTCAGAGGAGCCCTCCTCGCTAGGCTCGGGGCCGGCAACACAACCAACCAACCCGCCCTGCCTCGCCTCAGAGCTCCTCCTTCGCCCTGCAAAACGGCCGGCCTTTCCCCGGGAGGTGGCGCTAAGGCCGCCCCCGCCCCCTCACACCACCGGCGTGCACGGCCCCGCTCCCCTGTCCCAGCCCTGCACCAGGCCGCTTGTGGAGGCGCAGAACGCCTGTGCGACCGCAGGCTCTTCTGAAGTGTGTTTCTTGAGAAGCCAGAGGATTTTAAGCCCCGGTTCATATGGTTACAGTGTATTGGGCGATTGCCACCACACAGTGCCAGATATACTGAATATAGAGTCTGGGTGGAAGGAGCCCTCGTTGAGTTCGGTGGGGGCTCGTTTCCTGATACGCGCATGCAGGTTTGCGATAAGCAGTTTTCTTATTTTCTTTTCCGGAAATTCTGGAGCGTTGTGAGTCTTTGCTGTGACAACAGCGGCGCGCCGCCCCCCCCTTTGTGGTCGACTCGAAATACAGTCATTGTTGTTCAAGCGCACTCATCACGTGCCTGCAATGTGTCTGCATCCTCTAGGCTTGAATCACAAGGTCTTGGTGCGTTTTGCTTCGCATCCAGCGTCGTTCTTCATTTTAAAATGTTGTGTCAGCATTTCTATAGGCCTGATTCTGATGGCTTTAATTTCAATATACCCTTCGTTTTTGACGGTGAGAAAACATAACCCCTGTACAGGAATTCATACTGCTGTGAGTCATTGCTCCACTGCCAGTACAGTTTACTTGTGATAAATCTTTTCAGTGGTTGTGGATTTCATGCATATTTTTGGACATTATTTCATATAGAAGTGAGCAAATAGTGGCTGGCCACAGGTGCACATCTACATCATTTAATGCATTCAGCGTACTTGTCATAAGATTTTCTGCCTTTTGCAAGGTTCAGGCACATATCTGTTGTACGCACAGTTTATGGAACACTTTGTACTCTGCCACTGACTAACAGGTTTGACTTGGTGGGTGCACTTAGCACTTCCATGGTGCATATGTTAAGTGCCATTTATGATTCTAACATCATGAATGTATTCAGGTATTAACTTTGGTTCATTTGTGACTGTTGTTTGGATGCATGCTGGGAAGGCAAAATGCTGAAAGAACAAAATGTTAACTTGCTGTTTTTGCTGAGGCTTATGGCCTTGGTAGGTCAGCTATAACTGCGCATGTCTCTGGCTAAACGAAAAACAATGGCACCTTGTAAACCATATCAGCTATATAGATACTTTTAGAATTTTACAGTATGCTTGTTTGGGGGCAGTCACCCCTTTATCAGAAGCAGAGTCCTTATCGGAAGACCCCGAGTCCAATTCACCACTAGATTTGCTGTTCTCTTCTCCCTTAGCGTCCTCAGCTGTCTCTCCCAGTTGCAATCGCAGGAATTCACACACTTTGTGAGTGGAGTCAATCTTCTCTTTTTTGTTGTGTAATTTGAAAATGACACATTCTGAAATTAACCATCTGTAGGCAATCCTATTTTGTTAAAAAAGCACCAAGTCTTCCTCTTTTGTCTTATTTCAAATGGTATGTCTTTAAGAATCCTAATGTTGTTGTCTCCGATCTTCAAGGGTGTTCCCGTAGTTGCTTTTAGGATTGAATCTCTCACGTGTTTTTTCGAGAATCTGACCACTATCTCCCCAGGCAAATTATTTTTTTGAATGTAAACGGAATAGGCCCTATAGACCACATCCATCTTGCTTGCAAGATACTCCGCCTTCAAATCTGTAACTGGGGCCAATGCTTCACTTAGTAGTTGCTTTAGATTCTCCCCTTTTACCTCAGGGACCCCTTGAAATCTGAGGATCAGATTTGCTTTCTCCATTCGTAATTGTAAAAGTTGAGATTCGTTCGAAGCTTGCTTTTCCCCCAGCATTTTCACCTTTTTCTTAACTTTTTTATTGTTAGCGTCCATTTCCTTAACTTTCTCAGCTGTTTGCTCCGTCTTCTTTGCAGTTTCAGTCAGTTGGAGCTGCTGAGTTGCAAGATTCTCATTTAAAGTTTTGAGTTGTTGATTGACATTAGTAATCTGTTCACGCTCTGGTAAGTTTCTTAAAACAGATTTCAACGCTTTTGCCTTCGCTCCTCCCCGTTAGGTCGCTTTTTCGTTTGTTCGTATGGGAGGGGCCCCTCCCCCGCTCGCTTTTGTCGCCGGTCCCTGGAGGGGTGCTTTCTTTTTATGATCCCATCATTCGCTTTAACTCGACTCACAGTTTATTGTTGGTCTTTCGACCTCGCTCGGAATACGTTTTGAATGCCCGATCTCCGACGCTTGTCCTGGTCAGTGGCTCTAGTTCCATACGGACACTCAGTGGCAGGACCGTCAGGGCGGAAGAGTGCCTCAATTTCCCAGCAACGCGCTGGAGAAGAGGCTACCCTTCAAAAGCCCCATGGTTAGGAGCCTTTTGCTAAGGCTCCCGGAGGGTGGCGACCAGTCGCCCCCTCTCCTATCCGCTGGTGCGCAGATCACATCCACGGGAGGTCCGGGAGATGCATCCGCTAGTGTGTCGCCATAAACCGGAAGTTCCCGCCTTGCTGTGTTCTTCACCTGAATTATTGATATTTTGTTTAAAATTTTCATTAAAAAGGAAATGTGTTAGATGGCACTGAATCTCAACACAAAATTGTGTAACAGTGGGAACATCCCCCAATGAGGTACCCCAAGGATGGCAGGGTAGAACATGGCTTGCAGGTCAGAGCAGGCACATTCTGCCATGGAGGCTGAGAGAGCTCTCTCGAGAACTGACCTTGAGAGAACAGTTCGGAGAGAATTTATGACTATGACTGACCCGAGGTCACACCTGCAGCTGCATGTGGAGGAGTGGCAAATCAAACCTGGTTCTCCCAGATTAGAGTCCATGCTTTTAACCATTTCACCAAATTGGCTGTCAAATTGGATGTGACACCACAGAGAGCCTGTCCTCCCATGCTGCCATTTTCTCTGGGGAAACTGAACTCTGTAGTTTGGGAATCAGCTGAAATTTCAGGAGAACTCTGAGCCTCATCTTAAAGCTGGTAATCTTAGATTTAAGTGATTGTTTAAAGCAGTGTTGTGCAGACAATCCGTAACAGGTTAACTGAATTCTTTTTGCTCCTTGGTCAAACTTAAACTAGCTATTAAACTCATCCTTGGAATACTGAAGGGGGGGGCTGTTTACTGGCTAGTTTCTGCCAAGAGTGTGAACAGTGGGTTAATCCAACCAGTTTTTCCTCTGGTGAGAAAGGGAAAGGGGGATGCCTTGGACCACGAAAGAGCCATGTGTGATGGAAACTGTAAGAAAGAGGAGACCTGGCAACATAAAGCAAAAAACTTGGTTAAATCCAACCCAACAACTGGAGGACACCACGAAAAAGAGTCACAAGGCCAGTTCCGATCCACTTCACTTTGCTCTGTGTCACTTCTCTTAAATAAACAGGCAACCCAGATTCCATACAGTGAAAATATTTCTTCAATTCCCCTTGCATGCACCTAAACACAAAAGGTGTCTGATTCTGCTCTTCTCATTTTGTTCTTTAGTTCCTAACTTTGTAACGTGAGTGTAATAAATATTTCACTCGCAAACTATTGCTGTTGTGCTTTAGTATTCTGTCTCTGGGGTAACCTTCTCTGCTTAGTTATCCTTTCTGCAGAACAAATGAGGAAAGCCCACATGTTCCCAAATAAGCAACAGCAACTAGTAAGAATTTGTGCATGTGATCTGTGTGTACAATAATTCTTACATGTGGATCTACACAGGGGTCTTTGTAGGGTTCATTGCACCTGCCCCCAGGCCCCATAAACCTTCTGGGTGGCCCTGGTTTGGAGCCCCCAGCTCAGCAGACCTTGGTAATGCTCTCCATAGGAACTGATTTTGACTGCACCCTACAGATTAAAATTCAGAATAACGTCAAAGATAACATTTTAAAAGCTTGATTTAGTAATATTAAATATTGAAGTGGTGTATATATTTACAGATTGCCTTTATGCATGCTTTCCTGAAAGTGAGTCTAACTGATTTCAGCCCATTTTATTCGAGGGTATGTGATTGTGTGTGTGTGACTGTAATTTTAATTGCACCTTCTCTTTAAAAAATCACTTCAGTTAATTAGCCCCATTGTGCGAGATGATTATGGGCCATATTTATGTCTTGTGCTATCAAAGATTTTTCTTGGAGATGCAGCTAAAATGTCTGCAGCCTCGTATGATTTGTTTGCATGAGTGTAACATTTCTGTGTGCAATGCACTTACGTAAAGTGGCCTGACCGAGTGTTGCAATTGAGAGCAGTTCCAAACCCCTAATGTGGATGTAATTTGACAGCATGACTAAACTGGAAAGAGAGGAAGAGTTTGTCAATCAGCTGTTGCTACAGCAACCAAAATTATTCTCAGTCTAGCCGCAGCCATCTGCTGGTGAAAACATAAATCACTAACAAGAAAATTATCATTAAGGTTTTGTTTTTATAGAAATTTAACTCTTTGTTTTAAGTTATAGACATATACATTATCAGCTCCAAATAACATGCAGTTATAAAAGTAACAAACTACTACATCAGGAACTCTTGTAGGTATTTTGCAATATTTGGGAGATATGAGGATAGAAAGCAAGCTTTGCCAATAAAGTGAGTATTGTTAGAGGACTTATTTGATGACTAATAACTTGGCATAAGCAAAAATTTGTTTTTTAAAATATACATTAAAAGTCTTGAAGAATGTACAATTAAGAACGTAGCCATTTATCAATAATATTTTCTGGCTTGATTATCTATTTCAATTATTATCTCTTTATTACTAGCTAATCCTAAATTCTTTCTAGCCATTTTTTGTATTGATGGGTATTTTTACGTGTGTTGTGATGGATCTTGCTCCTTTGTCCAGAGGATAGCCATATTAGTCTGCTGCAGCAAAACTGAACAGGAGTTCTGTGGCAAGACTCCAAAGGTAGAGTTGGAATGACAGAAAGGCAGACATGGCAAGACTTCCAACAGGGGCTCCCCAAAGGCAGATGTGTGACAAGACTTCCGATAGGGGCTTCCCAAAGTACACAACAGCT